CTAAACAGGTTGTTTCAGAGTTTGTAGCTCTGACCTGTCGCTGGCCACGCCCCCTTCAGAAACAAAACTCTCTCTGTGATTGGCAGCTTGGAGTCGAACAGGTAGCTGACAAACGTGAATGAGTGTGTGACACCTGGACTTTCTGTTGTTTCTAAATGATTATTTCTTTGGACAACTGTTGCTTTTAGCTCATGTGCTCGGTGACTTTGTCAGAGAATAAATCCATCCATCATCTGTACACCTTCATCCTCACCAGGGTCATGGGGGGCGGAGCCTATCCCAGCTGACTCAGGATGAAGGCAGGTTCACCTGGACAGGTAACCAGTCTATCACAGGGCTACACTTAGAGACAGACAACCAAGCACACTCACATTCACACCTACGGACAATTTACAATCACCAATTAACCTCAGCATGTTTCTGGACTGTGGGAGGAAGCCGGAGAACCCGGAGAGAACCCACGCTGCACGGGGAGAACATGGAGACTCCACGCAGAAAGATCCCGGGTGTCCTCACCGGGACGCAAACCGGCGACCTTCTAGCTGTGAGGCAACAGTGCTAACCACTGAGACACCTGCAGCCCTCAGAGAAGACAACGATTATAAAATCAGTAGCTTAGCAGCAGCTTGGGAGCAGCACTGTCGGTTAACACATAGACGGTGCTTCAGTCTCTATTTCACACTCAGAATCTGAAAAATGTGTAAATTGGAACTCTGTGAGAAGTTTGGCTGTAATAAAATGCAGCATAAGTGAGAACAGAGAGCAGACAGACGTACAGGACGGGTTTCACTGAAGCACTGCAGGAAACATGGAATCACAGTAACCGTCTAATCCGTGTTTACTGGTTTCAAATATTTCTTAAACCTCTCTGAATGTCCCTCAGGTCTGAGCTGTGGTTGTAACGCCAGCCTCATTAGTCACAACAATCAGTAATAAACTAGTTGTTCAGCGCCTTGGACACTGGGAGTGCATGTAGACTGTTGTGTTCACTCTTGCAGCCAACAGCAGCAGATATTTCAGAGTTAGCAGAAGCAGCTCCATGAAGTAAATAATCCAGGTGGACTGAGAGGCAGCTGCTTGTTCTGAACGGCTCGCCTTGAAAGCAGCCGGCAGCCACAGGGCAGAACTATGCAACTTCTTAGCCTGATGACTTTTAGTTTTTCACTTTCTTCAAACAAAATTAATAAAAGTCTGACTGGCTTGTAAAGCTCGGAGGCTTTCTGGTTGAGGTGAGGTAGAGGAATGGCAGCGTCTTATATCCCCACAGCTCTGCTTTACATCTACACATCTTTAAGACACAAGACGCACAATGAAAATGTGTTGGACTTTAAAATTAACAATATGACTCCTTGAAAAGTCTGTGAATGATTTAGATCTTTGGATTTTTTTTATTTGCTGCTCTTAAATATTAGTAATGTCTGATTGATCTTTTACACATTTTACTTTTTTTATCATTACTTTAAAGCTAAAGAACAAATAATGCAGCACAGTGGTGATAACTTCACATAGAAAATAAATGCAGTATCATTTCTAAGGACATAAAATGTGGTTCAGAGAAGTTCAGGGATACCTGAGGTGTGTCTGGGGGCAGCTGTGGTTTGGCTTGAATGGTTTTTGGAAGAATGAAACTGAAACAAAACAAAGAAAGTAGAAGCTGTGAGTGGGAGTGCAGCTCGGTTGGCAGGTGACTATCAGCGTAACCTCATCAGCACCACATGTCTGGAGGAGGCATCCAGAACCACAGATTCAGCTGGTTGTCTGCAGACAGGTAGACTCATCCCAAAGTGACAGAACCATGGATGGTTACGAGCTCAGTGACAGGTGATGCAGGAAGGATGCCCAATCCAATTTAGCAAACGTGCTCCGCCTCCAGTCCTCATCCTCGCATCGCATCCTTTTCTTCTGCTGCAAGTACGACGCGCAAGTGAAAGGAGCTTTTCTTCATCCATCTCCCTTATTAAGACTTTTTCTTTTTTAGAGTTTCTCTCTTCTTCATTCCTTCCTTCCTTCCCTTTCCATCCCGGTCTGTCTCTGGAACTCGTCCTCTCTCCGTGTCCCTCCATCTCCTCAGCAGTTTATCATAATCACATCACCTCAGTGTAATGGAGCACACTTAAGGCTTATTATGTGTCACACACATGCACACACACACACACACACACACACACACACACACACACACATGCACACACTCACACGCAGGCATGAGATCCACTTAAGCCTTATTACATGTCTGACTGTGCTTCTAACATGGGAGATTATCCACCGGACTGTATGCTCGGGCAAGAGGGCAAGAGCTGCAGCTACCACACAAACACACACACACACACACATATGCACACACACACACGCCTCAGCTCAGATGCAAAGAGGAGGATGGATTTAGACAACTGGGCATTCTTCAACATGGAGACACAAATAGACAAGTGTGTGAGATGATAGGAACTGCAGCAGAGCACAGCAGAGCAGAATAGAGCACGGCCTACCAGCATGTAGGGGGAAAAAAAACAGAAGCTATGATGCCAGAAAATAGGAGAGGGTGATTTTTTTTCCTCCGCTATCTTTCTGTAGCAGTGCCACACACACACACACACACACACACACANCACACACACACACACACACACACACACACACACAACAGGGGTTGTTGTACGATGAAGACAGAGACAAAGTGTCCGTGGGGGGAACCAGAGAGGGCACCTCATCACTTCTACAGGTGCGTGTGCGCTTAACACACACATATATATAAGAGGCGGCGAACAAGCCAGCGCGGCGTCCCGACGTGTTCACGGATGAAGAATGTGTGGAGGAGAGGAATAATGCGGGCGGGATGTTGGCCGAGCATTTATCTCCCCTCCGTCTCTGTAACAAGGTGTGTGTTTGTCAGCAGGTGGCGGGACGAGGTGCAGTGCAGTCTCGCCTCTCGCTCTTTCTTTACCTCCGGTGTCCCGACGTGACCTCGAGTCTTGTGCACCTTTTGGGAACTGTATAGAAAATTAGCTTCCTGTTGTAAAGCTCAATCACACCAATAAACTTTTTCACTAAGTAACCCCTCGAGTCTGTTGTCACTTGTTTGTAATATTCAAAGCTGCTTTGCTTACAAGTGTTCCCCACTGCAACGCAATACAGACTCTAATTGGTCCTTAATTACATAACTGCAAGTGTCACTTAGAGGTCCGCTCAGTGTTCTGCAGCGTAATGTACACCATTAGCATATGAAGTCCCGGTTCGGCAGCAAGCAGACGTCTCATCAGCCAGAAGCAGTTAAAGGTGAAGTGCACGATTCTGATCCGACCCAATCTGCTCCGTGTGCGCGCCGGAAAACAAAACTGTTTTGTAAACAGCAGAAACAAAGAAAGTGGTTCGGACCGATGCACACGGCTCTGTTCTAGCGTGTCCTGTGCATGACTGTGCTCGTGCACGTTCATGCTGGTGCACGGGGGAGGGAGGGGGGAGGAGGGTGAGGGGGAAGTCAGGCACACACCAACTATTTATATGTTATCGAGAGCATCAGGAGTCTTCTCTAGAATCCCAAACTCTACCTTTAAAGGATGTTTGGCTCATTATTACATTACATGAGATAGTTTTCATCGAGCACGCTCAGTCTACATGAACAGACTGATGCTAAATATGAGGCCAAAAAGCTTCAGGCTTGACTTCTGATTGACATTCGAGCAAAAATTCTCACGTTAATATCCAACAATTTACTACTACATATAGGTTATGACACTAGGGTTCAGATTTTGAGGGAAAAGCTCATAAAATAATGATCCAAACTCTAAACAGAGCAGACTAATATTACTAAAACACTGATACTACGACTATGCAGCAATTAGAAAACTTAACTACGTCAGTTAACTACCAGACCTACCAAGCAAGTTACTCAACTACAACATTAATGCTACCATCATTTCTGGTTCAGCTGAACAATCCCAAACCTCGTCAGGTCAACACTCATTAATCTTCATTCATTACGTGAATCAAAACTACGTCCTAACATCAGACACCCTCCAGAGGCAGCAGGGCCTTCGGCTGCTTCACACCGACCACAGGACCGGTGCGTTAATCAGGAACAAATGCACAGAAACCGACGTGGCTGCATTCAGCTGCACCAATGTGTGACTTTCACAGAGCAAAACGTGTAAATGATCCGAAAGAAGCCTCGCGTGTGAAAACGGGAGTCGGCTGACGTGTGCCAGTTATCCAGCTCAGTGTGTGTTTTTAGGTTTTGTTTGAATCAATGTGAAAGAAAATCTAAAATTGCTCTCTAAAATGTTCTGATTCTCATAGGGGTGTGCTGTTACAGTGATGCTACCTGCAGCCGCGGTGATGTGCGCCGGGATGGAGGCTGGATAGAATGATAAATTTGCACATCTGTCATTTGTCAGCCTGAAATCCCTAAAGTCAGTGAAATGATGAGGCAGAGATGGAATACAGATCGGCATGCTTACCCCAGATCAGGGGACGTAAACTTATTGTTACCCAGAAAAAGGAAATTGTTTTCCGGGAAACAAGATTCTCCTGCTTTTGTTGGAAACCATGTACAGCAGCTGACCTCTTAAAGCACACCTGAGACCCATTACGGGCACCTCCCTGCAAGAACTACTCTAATTTCACACCGTTCCTTCCATTTTCCTCTCTGCACAACTCTCAGTCCCTCTCAAGTCACCCTTTCCCCCGACCTGCTTTTCATTTTCTGTTTTTTTTTTCCTTTTCTTTTCTCCTTGGCTCAGTCATGAATATTCATGAAGTTGTTATTTGCACTGCTGGCTCCTGAAAGAGGCTGAGCACACAAAGGTGACAGCCATCAACCTCAGGAGGCGGCGGTGCTGAAAGATGAGAGACTGCGGATGGGGAGGAAACGAATAAGTGGAGACGATAAAAAAATAAAAAAAACTGAATCTGAGACAAGTCAAATGAAAAAGGAGACAAAAAGAGAACAGAATACCAAATAAAACCAAAGGCATTAAGGGCTATGAGAGCATTTGTTTCCCCACCTCAGTATGAACTGCTCTGCGTTTGAATCCGTCTTCATGTAGACGCCGAACGCCACCGTCTTGCCGAGCCGAACCGGGCTGGGCGGCACCAGAACTTCCACGTTTTCATCGATTTGCAGCCTTTCTCCTTTGGCAGAAACTTGGCCCACGCTCATTTCTACAGAACCAACTTTCAGCATGTCCTGAAGACCCCCATCCACCAGGGGGCTCCACTGTCCCCCGAGGCCCAAGCCGAGGCCCCCGAAAGGCCCGACGTTTGCACTCTGACCCCTCCACGGCTCGTTGACGACGGACGGACACTCCTGACCGGCGCCTTCCACTGGTAGGATTGAGTAGTAGACGTCCACTGACGGTAGAGTCACTTCAGGAGGTCTTTTTCTCACTTGCGGTGGCGTAAACCAAGCCGGGGGAATCTCCAGACGGACGACGCAGATGCCAGATGGTCCCACGAGCCGGCAGCCTGCCGAGGGTGCTGCTTCGCTGGTGTCACGGACGGCCAAGGCTCTGACGCACGGGAGGAGGGACGGAGGAGGCGGGTCGGGCTCGTCCCAGCGCCGCCCGACCAGGTAGAACAACACCTGGAGAGGGAACGGATACATGAGGGGTCATAAGGGGTGAACTTCGACCAGACAACGGACAATCGATCAATCTTTGGTAAAAGGCAGCTGAAAGGATTAATTATGTTTAAACACTTTGCAATAAAACAAAACGGGTTTCTGGGACTTCTGGACATTCTTTAAAGTTGCATTGATTGATATATGTTGATGTTTTGCTCATCGTGGTAAAGCCAGTTATCACGACTCTTTCACTGTCCAGTCCACATGTAGTGTTTTGGTTCACGCTCACCTTTGTCCACCTGAAGCAGGCAGCAAATGGAGCAAACATGGAGCATCCTGCTGCTGAAGGGATGAGTACTTTTGTCAGCGACTGATCACAGAGCTGCACTAACATGATGAAGAAACACGTTCCCTTTCTGCTGGATGTGTAAATAAACAACTATTTGCTCTCTACATTATCATGACTGTCTGCTGCAAGTGAAAAAACATCCTTCAGCGTCGGTTTAACAGAAAAACAAATCCTGTCTTTCTGCCTGTAACACCAAGGACGTCTGCATTTTCTTTTAATCAACGTCGTGGATTCTTCTTACAGTGACTAACGAGCTTCAAGTGGTCTCTTCAGAATGAATGAATGCACGAGCAAATAAGTATATGTGTGAGTAAATGGTGCAAAATAAACCTCCCAGTACCTGTATCCAGGGCCTCGTCGACCCCACTCTGGGCACCACCACTTGACCTTTCACCTTCCAGTTCAGCGTCACCTGGTTGGTGGAGAGCGACAGGTGCGGCGGCGGACCCTGGAGCAGCTCCACCGGGATTGGCTGCTCGATGCTCTGGTTTCCGTAGCTGCAGTTGATGCTGGGCAGGGCGTGCGGCGCGGCGACGCCCGGCTCCAGCTGGTGGAGGAAGAAGGGCTCGGTGCGCGACGACAGGCTGCCGTTCCGCATCACCTCCTGGTTGGCTTCCCGCAGGAAGAAGGCGGAGTCGGCGCCGCTCAGCTGGCATTGGACGGGGAGGTAGGTGGGGAGGGAGGAGGAGAAGCGGGGCTGAGAGGAGTCCTGCACTCCGCCCGGGCCGCCGCCGACTGCTCCTGCTCGGCTGTCGGACACTGAGACGGGCGAGAGAGGAGGAAGAAGATGAGTTAGAACTATTTCATAAAACAGATCTAACGCCTGCCTGAAACTTGCAATGCTTGAAAAGTTAACTTAAAGCAGCTCATCATCCAATCAAACAAAGCCAACCTTGTGTAAATCGGATGCTTGTTGACCCACGAATCGCTTTTTTATTGCGTTCAGACGCTGATACAACAACATGCCCACATCCATCAGCTTTTCCCACATAAATTTCCACATGTTTCACAATCATCTGACGCCGGCGTAGACCACAGTGCACCGGGGTTCCTCGACGGTTTCTCAACAAGGAGGAATGAGCATAAACACATTAGCTCACAATATATTTATACACGCAAGTGATAGACTCCTCAGCATCAGGGGTTACATTAATGCATCGCTTCTTCTTTATCCCCGTTGGAAAAGCGTTACACCAGCATATATCAAAAAAACGACATATTGCTCTTTGGCAGTTTATTTCCATATATTTACATTCATTTTTCTTTTTCTTTTTTTTTTTTTATTCATTGCACGGTGTATTTACCAGACGTTTCACAAACACTGGGAGTTTGGAGCCGAGGATTACTGGGGGTTTTGGAGTCGCATCTCATTTACAAAGAGGACAAAAGGTTCCACTGTCTGCGTTGTGTTGGGAGGGAGCTGTGCTTACTAACCTCCATCCTCCATCTGTTTAGCTTGTCAGCATTATGTTATGCAAGGCACTGAACCACCAAACTTATTGTAACCTCTCTGGATGTTTTTCTGGATGCGAACACGTGCTGCAGCTGATTGTGTTGTGGTTTGGGATAGTCCGGAAAGAACCCGGTTCCTTCATCGCCAGGGTTTGGTTTTAAGCAGCTGGAAAGTCCAGCAGTGATTCAAACAGGTGCACGTTTCTAGTAACAGGTTGTTTTCATGGTTTAAAGCATCAGGGTCGAGATTAACGAAGGTGATTACTGCTGATTTACTCGATGATATTTAACGCTGTAGCGACAGGTTTTAATATTTGACGGCTTCAGGGCCTTCAGAGGGTTTTGCATCAGCAGGTCCATCATCACGTGTCTGTGCATCCTTAAGCAGCACCGTAATGTAGATATTATCTCTAAGCAGAGAAAGAAGTTTGATATTTCACAATAAATGGCCAGTAAACCTGCTGAGGAGCTGAGCTATGCCCTCCCTACTCAGCAATAGGCTACAAACTGAGCATTTCTTGGGATCCGACATGTTCAGTGCACGATGTTGTTCTTTGTGTGGGGAGAAAAATATATGCATAAAATGAATACTTCTGCAAAAATGCCACAGAGTATAAAATAATGCATTTTCCTATACAAAGAACAGACGGACTGATTTCCATTGAACCCATGGCGGCACAAAAAAAAAAAAAAGAAAACCACATACGGCGGCAGGGTTGGTGTGGAAATGTGTATGCGTGTATTTTTGTGTCCTAGGGAAGCGGAGTGTGAAAATATAATGAGGGTGGGACAGCGTAGCGCTGTCTGGGGCAAGTCATACCGAGGCGACTACACAAAAAAAATAATAGCGGAGAAATAAAGTGATACCTCGGTGTAACATGAATAAGCAGGCTGGTTTGGTTATGGTGCGTGGGCACGCCGGGATGAGTTTAAAAGGAGGAGAGACAAGCAGAGGGAGAAGAAGACAGCAAGAGAGCAATAGAATAAAAGAAAGAGGAGTGACGCAGAGCAAGAAGAAAACAAAAAAAAAGTGAGATGAAGAAAGAGAGAGATGGAAAACATCCGGAGAAAATGTGCACGCAGAGGAAAGTGACTGATTGGAGACGCCGGCATTTTTATGTTATAGAGGACGACTGCTCGCACTTTGCTGCAAATAACTTGTATCCGAGCAGAACTTTTTGAATATATGAATATACTGCAGTGTATCAATACGGCTTCGGGAAGCCAGATAGCTGCTGACAAGAGGAAAACCAAGAAGAACAACTGTTGTTAAAATTCATGGTGGTCCTGAAAACCGGGTGGTGTCCTACAGGAGGCTTCTGGAGCACGAACAGAACAGCTTCACGTCTTCTATACAAGCGTGTTATCTGGAGGTTAACATTATGAAGATTTATGCCTGTTTTGGAGCTTCTCATCCTTGGAGGTTGAGAGTCACACGCAGGAAAAAATCCCAAAACTGATTGCTTGAAATGTGGCCAAACCCAATTTTCAGATGTAGCTTGAAATAATCGCACCGACTGACGGACGGGTCGAGAGATTTGAGCTTCAGGTTTCCGTTCTTTTCTCATCAATATGGGTGTCCTTGAGGTGCAAGTGTCTACGTGTGTGTGTGTGTGTGTGTGTGTGTGTCCACAGGAGTCTCATGAAGCATATGTCCCGGTCCCCGGACAGGGACCTCGAACAGCTGACACACACACTCACACATGCAGGGCCTTGTCATGCAGGCAAAAGTTGACCCTTGGTTGGAGTCATTAACATCATAGAATATGAGGAACAGGTTGAGGTTTTTATCTCCAAAATCGCCGGTAAATCCTCAGTGATTTTTAAATAGATCAGTGGAATATTTTGTTAGCATTTATTAGCTTGATTTTAATGCTAATAACACGTCATCACTGAAGCATGTCTTGGCCTCAATCATGAAGGACACCATCAGTATATAAACGCTGCTGCTGGGAAGTTTTTGTCAAGAGGCGTTTTGATTAAAAAATATATTTTCAGCCATAAGAGACGGCTCAATAGGCGGCGCTACATCACAAGTCAGGGTTGGCCCTCTGTCATCATAACACCAGTATGCCATTGGCTACCATTAAACCTGGCATGGTCCAGATTCCCTGGCATCATTACTTTGGCATCCATAAACCACAACAGGAGTCCACACCCGCTGTGTCCTGCTGCACAGCGCGTCTGTGTGTGTGTGTGTGTGTGTGTGTCTGTGTGTGTGTGTGTGTGTGTGTGTGTGTCTGCAGATTCACGAGCGCTCGAATGTGTCCATGTATGTGCACGCATGAATAAGTATGTTTACATGTTTGTATGACGCGTGAAAAAGTGTGCAGGGATGCGTACCATACAGTCATGACTGAGGAGGTATCCTGTACATATATATATGTATATGTGTGTGTGTGTGTGTGTGTGTGTGTGTGTGTGGGCGGGGCCCTAAAGTGTGTGTGGAAAATTGGACAGGAATAAAGCCAGATGTACAGAGATTTGACAAGGCCCATCTGTGATCCTTCTTCCCCCCCAAAAAAAATTTCCCATCCTGCTCTACTTCCAAGTGCAGACACACACACACACACACACACACACACACACACATGCAGCCAGTAATCAAAGCACAGTGGAGCGTGTAGGACAGGAAGAAAGAGAAAAGGAAGAAGAAGGCGGTGAGAGCAAAGCCAGATGGGTGCGAGTGAGAAGAAGCGATATGAGGATGTGACGATGGTATCGGTGCTGCTTGATATTGTGTCGGTTAAATATTGACTCAGATTTTTAGATTTAATTAGAGACAGGTACACACACACACACACACACACAGAGTTAGGGTTATCCTTCACATCAGTGTGTGTGTGTCGACAAACTGTGAGAAAGACGAAGTGCGTCCTCCACAGCAAATTACACAAACGGATGCAGAAACATGAACCAGAAGATGAACACGTTTACACACAAAAGATCCATAATTGTATTTATTCTCTGCGACTGCTTTCATTTTTATCTTCGGTCGGTCTATCGGCGCCGTCCAAAGGTGTACAAACGCTACCGAATGTTAAACCTGCTTCACTTTTACGTACAAACACATCGTTTCTCCCTCGACTTTCCACGTCGACTCGTCCGGCTACAGCTCTGAGAAAGTCCTGAAGACTTCTCGCCAGGTTTTCAGGCAGAAGTTTTCTTTTTAGTTCCCAGAATGTTCCTTTCATCTTCTTTAAAGTAACTCTAAAAGTTTTAATCCCGTTGTTATTATGCAACATTGTGGGAACATTTAGCAGAATAACGTTCTCAACAGCAACATCCCAGAAACACTCTCAGAACACTCCAAGAAACATCTTCTACCTTCGTTAATGAATCACATCACTTTATCTGCCTTCCGAGACCTTTAGAACATTTTGAATATGTTTTTTGAACATCGGTTGGAGAACGTTCCTCTTTTGTTATCCAGTAAAATAATCAGACAGCAGCATCCTCTAGACGTCCTCTGAATGTTAAAGAAGCTCACTTTTCACCTCATAGGAACATGATTTGAAATGATAAATACAATTTGAACGTTAGATTAAAGGTTTTCTTAGAACTGGTAGGTATTGTTAGCTAACGCTCTGGGAACGTTCCCTACTTGCTGGGTGAGCAAAGCTCCTCTGAGCCAGCAGTAAAAAGTAAAAAACACTATTTCTACTACTGCTCTCCTCCACCTGTGAACTGCTGAAATACAGCAAAATGTCCAAAAAAGCTGAGAGACGTTTGATGAAAATCATCAAACATCGGTTTGCTTTTGCTTCATTCAGCGCAGACGCAGCGCTGCAAAGAAACAGAAAGAAAAAAATCCATCACGGGAGAATCTTCTGAAAAGAATGAAGTCCATTGATCACACAGATGGCACACGATCTGAGCGAGAGACGGGAGGAGAGGATAGGGAGAGACGCCGGCCGATACGCAGAGATAAATAGAGATGGTGTGAGTTATGGACCAGAGGAAGGAAAGTGGGGTGAGGAGGAGAGATAACGGTGAAAGAGGATGAGAGAGGGATGAGGTTTCTATTTCTGAGCCGCGCATTCATCACAAGCATGGAGTTTATTTTGGTGGTCTCTCCGTCTCTGGTTCTCTCAACAGGCCTCTCGCTTCCCGTCTGTCTTTGTACGATTCCCAAAAAATCGCTCCTGATAGGTGCTGATGATTGTTTTTTAAAATGTTAAAAGAAAAAAAAAGTAATCTTACTGGCTGTGAGGAGTTTTGTTTGTTCAGTCCATGAAAACAGCTGCAAAATGTTTTCTGTGGCTGTAAAGAAATGGCTATCTGAGCTTGGAGACTACAAATTAAAA